AAATCATTACGTTTTCCAATAATTTTATGCAACAATATTTCAAAAGTAGCATATAAAGCATATTGCTCAAATAGCTTCAGAATGTTTAGCTGTAATGCTAAAACTGACATGTTTTGTTAAATCAATTTGTAATATACACTACCGTTCAAAAGTTTGGGGTCAATAAGGAGATTTTTTTTAAGAGACTTTTTTTTTCAGCACAAATATATAAAATTGATCAAAAGTGGAAGTAAAGATTTTTACATTGTTGTAAAAAAATATATATATTTCAAATTAATGCTATTCTTTTGAACTTTCTATTTATCCCACAATCAAATATCAAATAAATGCCACCTAGGTGAGCTAAAGAGACATCTTTCAAAAACATTAAATATTTTACTGACCCCAAACTTAAACTGTAGTTTATTCTAAGGTGTAAGCATGCAATACCAGAAATAATCCATAAAATAATACTTATTATGATAAATGATACTGACATTTAGCCTTTCTGTTCTTTCAGCCACAGATGCATGTTGAAAACATAAAGCACACGCAAATTCACTTACCCTGTAACGATAATCTCTGGATATGTCTGCGAACCAACCGTCCATGTGCCACCACTGACCGGCCACTCCTGAACACAAAAACAATAAAAAATGTTTTAATAATATTACATTGAAAATCGAGAAACTCAGAAAAAACTTTGTAAATTAGCTTAGAACTTTGACAAACCTTGTGACTGTAGCCGGTCTTTTTGTGTTTGGCTCCTATGGAGTAAAGCACAGGTATGATGTCGGGGGGACAGTCGGCAAAGTAAGCAGTGCACGTGACTGGAGACTCATGGACGTCCATGGGGTATGGGTTCTCAAAGATAGGAAAACTAAAGGAGAGAGAGATTTATAAATGAACAACAGGTATTTATTAAACATTTATTCAGATGTCTCTGGAATCTGATTGGAAGAGTCACATTCAAAATTTCATAAAATAGCCTATATCCATACACTAATCTGTGACCGCACATTTACTGACTGACTTCTGTATTAATGTGCATTACGTTGCTACAGGCAAGCATAAACAGAATACATCAGGGTCTCCAACCTTAAGTGACGGGGATAAAATGATCTGCAGGGCTACAAATTTGAAATACTTAAGAATGAGTGTTACCATGATAAAAGAAACTGAGGCTATTTATAGAAAGTTGCCTGTGGGCGACTCTATGTGGGCTACCAGGTACGGACTCCCACGGGTACTATATTGATGCCACTGAACTACATTTATGCAACTGAACTATATTACTCAAAAAAAGAATTAAAAATGAAGAATATATTATTATTAATATGATATTGTAAGTAGTATTAATAAATGTAAGTGTTAATGTCTTTTATCACGTTGCTATTGCTGATATAAAAGTAATAAGATCAAGGTTGTGTGTGATTTTACCCCATTTTTCAATGTACCTGTGGTATTGAGTGGCTTATTGCTTTTACTATGTAATATAACCTTATGTAACTACATTTTAAGTAAAGTACACTTTAAAGGTCAAGTTTAAAGTCGGCATGAAATGGAAGTTAGTCTTTTCTTCTCTATTGTGATGTATAGCCAAGATGGCTTCTTGAAAAAGACTAAATGTAGGGCAGGAATTTTGTTAATCAGGAATTGATTGGATCATTGGATCCTTGTGGTTTACTATTGCTATGATGAGTGACAGGTTGTCCTGCCCTCACGCCAGTAAATACGTCATAAGAGAAGAGATGTCGCTGCAAGATGGATGGGAAGTTAGTTTGATTAAAGATCACAAGGGCACATTATTATTATTTAATGATTAAAATAATGATTTATAATAAATACTGCAAATAAGTATGTATAATATATATATATATATATATATATATATATATATATATATATATATATATATATATATATATATATATGAGAACGGTCAATTTTGACATTTATGGCTACTTTAATGGAATATATGGATGACTGTCTGATTCTGAGAAGGTTTGAATGCAGCAGTTTGTTTGTTCCTGCACTGCCTCTTTGTGAAGAAATGGCCTTAAAGCAAAGAAAACATTTGATGTCAAACTGCCAAAGTCTCTATGGCAGGAGTGGTACTTAAAAGAGTGACAAACGGCCAGTCGGAGTGTGTCTGTGTATGAGTGTCAGGCTGACCTTGGCTCTTGTTCTTAATAATGACTCATTTGATGGATGTTTATGAGTGACAACTCTATGATATTTACCCTTAACAGATAAACACACACTCACACAAACTCAGATCTTTAAAATAACACACACACAATATTTATCGGGTGTTGAACGATGTTGCCTCTGGTAGAAGTACTAGTGTGAGGTGTTGTTGGAGTACATCACATTGAGTTACATTATTCAGACACACACACACACACACACACACACACACGGCAGGAAGTGTGAGTATGATAGTGGAAAGAGAAAGATGAGATTGCTCACTTGCTCTGGGTTAAATCGACCACAACGAAATCTTTCTCCAGCAGAACCACCACCGCATATGGCTCCTGGACCTCTGTCAACACAAACACATCTCAACAAAATCACCATCTATGAATTCTAGACAATGACAGCACAAGAATTGATTCAATACTCTAGATTTATTACTTAATTTATATGAGAAGTAATGTAGTACAAGATTGGACCCCACTGACTTTCATTGAATGGAAAAGACAAAAAAACTGATATAAAAATGTGTTTTAATTTTTTAATTAATTATATTATGAATATTTATGTTCCACAGAAGTAAGTCATACACGTTTTCATTATAAATGATAGAATTTAAATTTTTTGGGTGAAATATCACTGTAATATGATGCTACAACTTTAGGTAAACCATTTATAATTTGATTCCCCCCAATAAGTGTAACCTTTGTGGTGCTTTTAAAAACATTTGTTTTTATTTGAGCATCTCCGCCAGCCTGACCAATGGTATGAGATCTGTTTTTACGAGCAATGGTAGACGGGTTGAGTGTTCAAGAAACCTGTTTTAAAAATCATTATTTTTGCAACTTTATTTATTCTGGTGGTGTAGAAATTACACACTTCAGCTTTAATCTTTGTGAGGGAAAACTGGTGACAAGGTGACATCTTGAAACCAAGGGGACTAAGGCATTAATTATGTTGTGTATTTGTGTGTAACAATTAAAGGGATACTCCACCCAAAAATGAAAATTCTGTCATCATTTACTCACCCTCAAGTTGTTGCAAACCTGTATGAGTTTCTTTCTTCTGCTGAACACAAAGGAAGATATTTTGAAGAACGATTGGAACTTTGGCACCATTGACTTCCATAGTATTTTTTTTTTTCTACTATGGAAGTCAATGGTGCCAAACAACCGTTTGGTTCCAATCGTTCTTCAAAGTATCTTCCTTTGTGTTCAGCAGAAGAAAGAAACTCATACAGGTTTGCAACAACTTGAGGGTGAGTAAATGATGACAGAATTGGGTGGAGTATCCCTTTAAGCTCTGGAGACACAGTGGAATCCTAATGATACATGATTCTCATGTTTTCTTTTATAAAAACTGTAAAGGTCATGAATGTACAATGTATAATGTACAATGTGTGTTGATTAGAGTGAATGAACAAGCAGAGAGTAGCAGGGAGAAAGGAAGATAAAAATGGGTAACAATTGAAATCACTTCACATTTGGTGGATGCTTGCTGTTTCTTTTCTGTTGTATTTTGGGTAACAAATTCTGTGCATGTGTACTTGACAGGGCTTTGCCTGCCAAGAGAGAGAGACTGATATGGCGACTCTGTCTTTCCCCTTGACTGAACAGAGCCAAAGATGTCACTCCTCAAACCATTTAGAATCAATTTTGATGTAGCATTTCACCTTACTGATGTCAGATTTGCAAAAACGAGTCATTCTTTTAAGCTGGTTGTTTCTAAAGATATGGAATTGATTTTCAACATTGATAATAATCATAAATGTTTCTTGAGCAGCAAATCGGCATATTAGAATGACTTCTGAGGGATCACGTGACACTGGAGTAATGATGCTGAAAATTCAGCTTTGCCATCACAGGAATAAATTACATTTTACAAAATATTCACATTGTATTGAATATTTTCATTCTATTCACATCACATCAATTGTAATCATATTTCACAATATTACTGTTTTTACTGTATTTTGGATCAAGTAAATGCAGCCTTGGTGAGCAGAAGAGACTTCTTTCTAAAACATAAAAAAATCTTTACCACTAAAACTTTTGAATGGTAGTGTATTCATACACTAATAAAGATATATATGAAATTCATAATGCAGTTAGAGCGGGAATGAAGGCTTCGTTGGGACAGCATTCTTGCAATGCACGGAGAAGAGCAATTACTCAACATTTTAAGATGAAGAGGCGCTCTTTTGGTTTTCAACTGCGATAACTAATGTACTCACTCACAGAATCAGACACTGCTGCTTTTTTATATAATTCATTTCCCGGTATGAATTATGACCACTTTGTTCATTGGTCCGTTGGGTCGGATTCAGAGTTCATTTTCAGTCGGACAGAGACCACCTCATTCAGGCAATCTCAAAGCGATTGTTTTGGTACGGATACGAGCGCGATTGCCAAGTTCATATATGCATAAACGTGCATTAATGTAATGCACCAGGGTTAGAAACAAACGTTTCAAACGAGCCAGGTGTAAAAACTTAGTTGTCGTAAAAAACGAAAAATAGTTAAAGCTGCAGTCCGCAGTTTTTCCTCTTTGTCGCCATCTCTGTTCGAAATCTGCAATTGCAGTTATTCGCGGAATTATCAACTTTACGTGAGTTGTACTTCGACACGGCACAGTGCGGATGAACACAATGTTTGAGGAGAGTGTGTGGCTGTCAGTCACCGCACCGGTGTGGATACTGGCATTCAGAATCACAGATTATTCTTTTTGGAAGTATGACCAACATAAGGATTTTCACCGGAAAATTAACAGGGGTAACATCAACTTTTGTTCTGGTTCTGACATTGCAGTAAATCGCACTGATTAAATCTAAAAATCGCTTATCATATCACGCAAAACCGAGCAAATTATACTTTGTTCTCAAATTGTTAACGTTAACAACGTCAGCATTGCGTGACTACATGTAATGTCCTTCCGATATGTATCCTTGTTTTCCCATGGTCCGGTTGCAGTCTCTTTTTTTCTGTAGCCACTCCGAAGTCCGAACGAAGTCTTTTGCATTTTACAACGGGTGAGTCTCCAGTTGTTACTGGTGATTGTCGTTTGAACCAGTGCTTTAAGTGGGCCGGTACGCGCCGGTACTCAATACCGCCACTTCCAAATATAGCTCTTGAGCGTACCGCCACCTCTCCGTACGCCCAGAACGTGCTTTTAGCGTACCGGTACGCTCATTTGCACATCTCTTTTAATCCTTTGGCTGCGCTGCCGCTTTTCAGAGCGCCCTTCACAATGCACGCTTCCTAATTCAGCCCACCGGGAGCAGAGACTACATTACCCATACACCCCTGAGTTTTAAAAAGTGAAAAGCGCATGCGTCGCTTTTGCCGCTGTCAGTGTCAACTCAACGTGGTCCGGAGAGGGTGTGTGAAACGCGCAACCATAGCTGCTCGGTTAAAATACAAATACAATGAACACTTAATATGCTCTCCTGGCTTCAGACTCTGAGTAGTAAAAGAATAAGGTCAGAATCAGAGGACTCGCTGGCTGTAAAATGATTTGTACAGTATTTCTCATTTTTCATTTGGTGTAGTGTGATTGTATTTTGCTGAATCTGCTTTTGTATATTTTTCAGGGGTAAAGAAATGAACCATCTTCAAGACTCATGTTTATGTTCTACTGTTCTATAGTTATGCTATTATGTTTTATAATTTATTTTATGTACATTTTGTTCAAAATTTTTTCAATACCCTTTTGCACATTTTATTTATGTTCAGTAGCTCTTTCTACAGTAGCTCTTTCTAAGGGTATTTTTTCAATACCCTTTTGCACATTTTATTTATGTTCAGTAGCTCTTTCTACAGTAGCTCTTTCTAAGGGTATTTTTTCAATACCCTTTTGCACATTTTATTTATGGTCAGTAGCTCTTTCTAGCTCAAGCAAATCCACAAACTAATAAAAGGATTTATTATTTTTTATAAGGTCGTCTGTTGACTGCTGTATATAAAACCCCTTCAATATAGTTGTTGTTGCCTCAGGGGAGGAGGGGAGTCAGCAAAAAAAAAAAAAAAAAATAATAATAATAGAGTACCGGCACCTCTTTTGGGCCACTTAAAGCACTGGTTTGAACCTTTCTGGATCCGGCATCAAATTGATAAGTTTAATTATATCAAGTTCTGTGAGAAAAGGCTATAAATCTCCACCTCCAGCATCCTCACACGCAATATAGCCTACTAGCCGAGACTCCTCCTTTATGTGTACAGATGTGACGTAATGACGCAAAGACATGCTCGAATTTCCCGTGGAAATCCACCAGTACCACTGGAATTAAAAACATTATTCCAAGCTTACCGCTTTGAATCGAGCTAAGGCAAGCAGATAGTTTTGAACACTGGCTGGTTATGTATTTTCTCAAATATGTATTTTGGATAATTTTTAACCCAAAAAAAGCTACGGACTGCAGCTTTAAGGTGATGACATCAAACTGGAACACATGCATAAAATTAGATGAAATACAACTAAAACTTAATAAAAGCTAAAACAGTATAATTAATAGTATTTAAATAAAGACATATTTCAAAATAAGAAAGATTTCAAAAGTAGAAGAACTGGAACTCTACTTTGTGATGATACAAACTAATGTGTGAATCAGATGTTTGAACTGATTTATTAGAAACGGTCAGAATGAATCAATTGATTCACTTAAATTAATCTCCTCTCCACTCTCTTTTAACAACAATGATTAGGTCTACAATGAGACAAAGAACAAAAACTTAAGTTTACTCAGTCCAATGAAATGTTCCACCAAGAACAAGACAACTGATATGGAAGACAGGAGACTGAAGCGCTCAGCATACTCACCGTTGAGATAGGGAGTGTCACAGAGCACCATGAAGTCCACTATTGGATAGTCCATCTCTAACACTGTGATGGCTTTGCCATGCATGATGGTTAAGGTGGGTCTCCGTCCTGCCTTATCATACGAAAGTCCTCCGGAAAAGATTACAAAGGCTTCACTACTGGAAGACAGAAAAATAAAAAAGTGTAAATGGAAAACCTCATTTTGTCTGTCTGAAATTATTTCTTCATCATGTCAAGACCCATAGCTTCTATCTTATTGGATGGAGACTTTTATGCCACACAAAACAACCTTGCTTTGACTTCGAAGGTCCTCTCAATACGTTGCATTGTTTCAATTTAAAGTCTTATTCACAACCCTGAAATATTACAGCCCGTTCTCATCCCAAAGCGTAATATATTGACTCTTTTGACAAAGCGTCTATATCCAACGCACATGGCACCCTTTAGCGTCATATGAGACGCAGATATATGGCGCCTCCTAGTGGTCTAACCCTAACACTACCCCAGACCTAAACCTACCCAAAACCGAAGCGTGTTATATTGACGCTAAAGGGTACCATGTGTATGGAGCCAGATCAGACTCATTAATAATTCACGCAAAAAATACGATTCACACATGCGTAGACAATTTCACATGCGTGAAACCTAATTCACGTACACACACAAAAAATTCACGTGCGTGAAAAAAAAAAAATTTCACAAAAAGCAATTCACATGCGCAAAATAAAATTATATATTCATAAAATACATTTCACAAATGCAAAACACAATTCGTAGATATACAACTGTGCACAAAAACCTTTGAATCTTTAAAATGTACGAGTGTGTCCTTGAATTTGAATGTGCAAATCGTCATTCACGTACGAATCGCCTTGGATGTGTGTGTGTGTATTTTTGAGACTTTCCTGGCAGCGCTTACTCGTAAAACAGAGCAGTCGTACTCTTCAGCCAATCAGATTTAAGCTCATCAATCGACCAATCAGAATCACATGAGGGCGGGCCTACCTGCATGTTACGTCATCAGCTTTCGACCAGTTCATGGCTGAGCAGAGGTAAGTGCAGTTAATCGTTCATTTCGGTGTTAACTGAAGTTAAAGAAGCTTGAGATCAGTTGATGCAATAGTTTATTAACTGCTGTTTAGTCCACATGTGAACATAAACATTTATTTTTAGTATTGATGGATTTTCATGTCCTGTCCACCACACATTCAACTGATGATAATGTATGTAATGACGTGCATATATAGGAGACATGTTTTGTTTTAAGCATCATATATTATGTAGTTTTATTGTTTCAGATTTCCGAGACAGATGATGTATGAAGTTGCAGACAACCAGTACTGTGATCTTACCATTCCTACTGTAAATCTTTGAAAACAGTCCTGTTGCAAGCCATCCATTTTGACAGTTGTTTCAACAAGAGGTTGAAAGTGATGCATTGTTACTGTATTCATTTGTCTCCTGCGGACTATATGTACACGCTCTAGGAATACAGCCCTGCTATGCATGCATTATTAAATGTTCTTGTCAGAATGAAAAGATTCAAAGACATAGTTCAATTTGATGTACACGTTTTATTAATTTTAACGTTTCCGAAATTCTTTGGGAATAAAATATATATAAAATGACTTGATCATGATTAATGTTCCTGTTACATATGAAGATCATGAACATTCAGTACAGAGAAATATACATCTCTTCCAGAGTTGTGAGATCCAGTCAGAGTCTTGCTTTTAAAGTATATAAATATAAGTGCAATACATCAAGTGAAAAGTGAACAAATGAATTGTGTTCAATCCAGTCATCAGTAGACCTCTCTGTTAGGACATATCAGATTTTGTCCTGATATTTAAAATAGTAAAAACCTATAGTACGAGAGGTGCAGACAGAGGACGTGGGAAATTAAGTGATGGTATTTGAATAGAGTTTACTGAGTAATCTTAGTCGCATAATCTTAATTGCCTCTCTATGATAAGTACCTTTGTCTTATCAGCACAAAATCAGATTTGCCTATTTTACTAAGCAAAGTAAAATTAATGCTTCACAATATTGTCCTGTGAGACCTTAAGATGACAATAAAAAACCTTATTTAAAAACCTTAAGATGACAATACAGCACAAAACATAAGGAAATGCATGTTGAATATTGGTAACACTACAATATGGTACAATAACATTACTTAATGTATATTAACTAACCATGAGCAATACATTTGTTGCGGTGTTTGATATGAAGAGGTCTTTTCCAAAACGCGATAAACGCCATTTTTAAAAAAAATGAGTTTGTCATGTCATTTTGCTGTGCACTGAACCTATTCACTGCTCCATCAACATTTCATGCCAAATCGCTATATTTCCTTGTTTAAAATGTACTACAAGATGCAGTTTCTTTCCAAAACGCGATAAGCGCCAAACCTATTTTTAGCCTAAACGCGATAAATCCTCTCGACTAATCAGAATTCGGTGAACGTTCTACGCAATCCAACAGGGTGGCGCTCTGAACAGAGGTTTGTTTATGTTCATTTATTCCTCAAAATGAGTGAGTTTTCTAGTCGACTAGTAGTAGTTCATTTAAGTTTAATCACATATTTATATTGATTTAATTATTTAAATATGGGAGAGAAACCATAATGAGCATTTTTTTTATTGCCTATTCCGCATCTCACGCATAAAGCTTGCCACAAAGAACCGACAAAAGTAATGATTAGGCCTATGCATGAAACATTTGAATTGTTTATTTTTTAATTAGTGTTTTCTGTCAGATATAGCTGCAAGGATAAAGTTGACTATGCTTCGCAGTAGTGAACGCGTCTATAGAGAGAAATGCACACTTTGTATTAGCCTACATACGCAGAGAGTAGCCAATTTCTTTTCGTTTTTATTGTTTTGTTTAAATGTAGACATTTCAAGCTTTTTATAGATATACTTCTCAGGATTGTGAGGCAAGTATCGCTGTGTTTCGGTCAATTTATGTGATGCTCTCCAGATCACGCGCGGGCGCTTCCGTGTCCTGATTATATGTCTGCTATATTCGCTTCTTATTTATTTATTATTAATCCAGTCAATTTGTTGATGAAACATTGATTAAAATGAAGATACAATTTATACAAAACGAAATTCACTTTAAAGAAAGGCTTTCTACTAAACAAAACTTAATAAGTGGTCAAAATCATGTCTGACCCATTCCAAATGTTTTCCGATATATTGGTCATCTTATGATCCTATCATACTCATCTCATGCGGTTCCCTTTTCATATAATCAACATATATGAAATAAAAAAAATAACAATAGCCTATATTATTAAACATAAATATGAAACGTATGTTTAAGTTTTTTTTTAAAAACTCTTTTTAAAAAGATTTTTTATATGTAAGCGTCACGCCGCTCCGCTTTGTTCACATGCTGTGTAGCCTATACAAGCATGTGTGTGTGTGGTGGAGGGGTGCCCATCACTACTTTTGAATATCGTTATCATTGTTAAATATTTTTAATAATTCTTTTTTTTTACGCATATGTAGTGGACAAATTGGTCCTACTTGTTACAGGTTTGACACTTTACTAAAAATTACTCTGAATCTATTACTAAATAACTTATTGAATAGCTATTGATATCATTACTATTTTCAGGTTCTGCACCAAATGACTTCTAGCCTAAATGTGTTACTAAATTTAATTTATAGTAATTTATAGTATGAGCCCCTGATTATATGTTACATGCTCTCGTTTTTTTTTTTTTAAAGACAAACCATACAGTTTTGGAAAAAAATTATGGTTTTATAGCGTTTTGGGAAAAAAAAAAAATTAACTTTTCATTTATCATAAACAATATTGTTGTTTGATTTAATAATCATTGTTCAACATGTTCAGACGGAGCCAATAAAACATTTTAACAGGATAAATTGAATATTCACAAAATGTGTGGGTCTAGGTAAAAAATGTCATTTTCCTGAAAACTATTGGAATGGATTTATAGCGTTTTGGAAAAGAACTCCTCCTTTGTTAACGTTAGTTAAAAATATAGCTGTTTATTGTTACTTTACAGTGCATTAACTAATGTTAACAAGATTTTAATTAAGTATTAGTAAATGCTGAAATTAACATTAACAAAAAATAATTAAAGGCTGTTTACGTGCAGTTCATTATTAGTTCATGTTAACTAATGAAACGTTATAGTAAAGTGTTACCAATTAAGACATAAAAACAAAAGTATAAAAGAGAATAAAGAAACAACATGGATTAAGATGTTTGTGACTGCTATCCAGATGTCACACCAAAGGTGAGTAATCCTGAAAAATGCAGGGAAACAAGTGTTAATAATAATTTAACAACATACACAAATAGCAAATAAACACTGGGTGCTCATTAAATAGGTCTATTCACCATTATAAGAACAATCTTGATGAGGCCAGTGCTGAGAGAGCTAGGGTGGGTAGGTATTGACCACAGATGATTGTTTTGCAATCATTAGCGTGATGATTGTAGCTGAGAGCTGTCTAAAATACAACAAAACAAGCATCATCCTTCTTCATTTTTGACACGATATGGGACATCTGATTACAACAACACTTGCTTACATCAGATAATAGTTCATAAACTATTGCTTCAACTGATCTCTAACTTCAGTTAACACCGAAATGAACGATTAACTGCACTTACCTCTGCTCAGCCATGAACTGGTCGAAAGCTGATGACGTAACATGCAGGTAGGCCCGCCCTCATGTGATTCTGATTGGTCGATTGATAAGCTTAAATCTGATTGGCTGAAGAGTACGACTGCTCTGTTTTACGAGTAAGCGCTGCCAGGAAAGTCTCAAAAATACACACACACACATCCAAGGCGATTCGTACGTGAATGACGATTTGCACATTCAAATTCAAGGACACACTCGTACATTTTAAAGATTCAAAGGTTTTTGTGCACAGTTGTATATCTACGAATTGTGTTTTGCATTTGTGAAATGTATTTTATGAATATATAATTTTATTTTGCGCATGTGAATTGCTTTTTGTGAATATGTTTTTTTTTCACGCACGTGAATTTTTTTTGTGTGTACGTGAATTAGGTTTCACGCATGTGAAATTGTCTACGCATGTGTGAATCGTATTTTTTGCGTGAATTATTAATGAGTCTGATCTGGCTCCATACATGTGCGTTGGATATAGACGCTTTGTCAAAAGAGTCAATATATTACGCTTTGGGATGAGAATGCGTGAATATTAATACAAAATAGGAAGAAACAAAAGGGGGAAAACAACATTACAGCCAAACTAATTTAAAATATCATTAAAACTGAGGCGGCCACTTATGACCACTTCTTTGAACACAGCATAGGGGTGGGGAAAAAACAATCAAAGATGGAAGTTTCTTCAAATTATGTTTTGCTGCTCATCTCCCGAGGAAAACAGGCTTTATAAAAACAGGCAGTAAACTTGAATTGTTTTGTGACAAGATAAAACAGCAGTAATGGTTCTTGAGTGGCACATCTATCGCAAGCAGGATTAAATTAATCATTCGCTGTATTTTGTGTTGCATTCCATTTATCCTTGGAGGAGGGAAATTCCTGGTCCCCAGTAGGAACTTTTAACTGGAACGCACCCCTCAAGTTAGAGTAGAGACTGGGAAACTCTGGGGAACCACAACAACCCCCCGACTTCAGAATCCAATATGACTGCTTAGCACATCAACCAAACAGTAGTAACATATTGTTTTCCGACCTGTCTACTGTCATTCCAGTCCCCGACAACATTATTTCGAGGTAAATGGAATGAACCATTAGTCTCAGAGTGGAACCGTCAGGGCCCAGGCTGTCAGAGAGGGTCTAAACTATTGTAAAAATATATATATTTACAAACTTCTAAATGATAGTTTAAAAAGTAAAAACTTTTTTAATAAAAAGCCATCCATTCTAATGTTATTTCAGGAATTCATAAATTGACAATAAACATCTCAATCTTTTTGAGGAAATAAACCCTTCAAATCTCCCTATTCAGTTTGTGTTGTGTTGCGTAGACGCCCATTTTCTCCCTATTAGGATTTGTCCTCCAAATGCTTTCAGTTCTGTGATTGGTGGTCCAGCTATGAAATTACAGAGGGCCAAGCAATAGCAAATAAATGAGAGACTAACTGACCAATCATAGCGTCCCTCTAAATGGGTGGGGCTTGTTATCACTAACTTTAAGACAAGTTCCGCCCGCTGTGGGGAAAAACACTGATAAAATAGCTAGCGCTATTCGCTATGGAAAATGCAAGAAATGTTGGCGAGTCCCCAAATCATAAGTTTATTACGGTCTGTTCCAAACATTTAATAGGCAAATGAGCCAGTCTAATGATATTATTTATTATCAACATTGCTTGTTTGTGGTGGTGGATTCCAAAATGCCACGATCGCTGTTTACAGTCTATGACGCAGAAGTGTCTGTCACTAATTTGCTTTGGTCTGAGTGGTGTCATGATTCATCGGCTTACATTAAATTTTGTTGGTTTTGTGTCATGTTTTTCAACCCGACCAGTTGTCACCATATTCCGCTAAACTGCACACACCGATTGTGTGATGATACAATTATTTGTAATGAGGATTTGCATTTAATTACATTGTTTTATTTTGGTAATAACTCTCAAACTCACTGTGCTGATTGATTGTTGCATTTCTTATCAAAGGTAACTTGTGCAGTACTATAGAAGAGGACACGGTAAGCTAGGCTGATTTTAGGCTGATGGGTGAGGGGGTCAAGGCTCAAGAGTCACAGTTTGCTACTGGTGTGACTTTTTTGTGTGTTCTCTTACCTGTTTCTGGAGGTCTTGTATTCGACCTTGAGAATGGGTTTACATGACTCTTTTCTACCGTCTCTCTGAGTCTTGCCTGAAAAAAACAACAACAAAAAAACAGACAAAGTGGTAAGTTTTAAATGCATCACATTTTCACCTAAACCTTTCTTACGTTTATGTCTAGAACTTTCTGATTAATAAACACAATTCCCAGTGCGAGTGTGATCATCTTTATATAACCACTGAGCTCAAGGCCAGGACCCCAAACATAGCAGCAAAGATTGAGAGTGAATCACTTATTTCCTGTCAAATCAAACTTGCACACACACACACACACACACACACACACACACAGCGAACCCACACACTGAATCATCCTCCATAATGAACACACCTGGTGAGGGGGTGTTTTTGCTGACAACGTCAGAGTCAGATTTCACTAATAGATGGTGAGTCATGGAAGATGGGGTCTTTAACTGTCCCTGTGGGTTTACATAGCTATACTTTGGGATCAAAATGTGGCCCCAGAAGTGAGCCAAGCCTGACAAAACCTCATTTTTGGGACAAATTTGTTGAGGACATCCTTATTTGGTAAAACAATTAATTAATAAAAAAAAATTTAATCTACAAATGAAAAAAAGTCTTGTTTTAACTCCTTCCCAACCATTGACGGAATTTTCCATCATTTATGAAACAACGGATCCCTGCCATTGCAGGAATTTTCTGCCAATCCATGTTTTCTCTGCTATGCGGCAAGGGGCATTGTAGTCTTTGACAAAAACACGATTTTTGTTTCAAAACATTGCTTTTTTTAATGAAACTTACCGACATTCAATTGTTGATAAAAAGAATGCATTAAGCTATGATAAAATGTTTTTTTTTGTTGTTTTTTTTTAAAGCAGAGGCTCTGTTCTTTCTTTTAATATATTGAATATTCAGATATTCATACAACAGAATATTCTGGGGATCATTAAAGTTTTGTGAAAATGATCAAAAATGCTAGAGGTGGCTGGCGGGGAAAGAGTTAAAGGTTATTTTGGGTGTGGGTTAAGGTTAGTATGTTGTAAATATAAATGGCTTTATATACATGCAGTAAAAGTCAAGTCAAGTCACCTTTATATATATTGCACTTTATACAATACAGATTGTTTGTAAGTCTATGTAAGTCTATGGTATGTCCTCATTAGGTATATAGGATATAAAGCAAAGGATAATACACAAGCAACATTTTTTTCTAACTAAAATATCACATATTATCCTATAGCGAAAATGCAACTGAAACCGTAATTGTGAATTGTAATCATTTTAAACACCATAAAAATGATCATATGGCTTTTTTATTTGTCCAGGCCTATTCATTTCTGTAAAAAAATAAAAACATTAAAAATATAATTTATACAGAGCATGACTGTAATTTTGACATGTTTCAGCATTGTTTCAGTAAAAATTCATAAATATTCAACTATCCTTAAATTTAATGAAGCTCATTAAAAGGTTTAAATGTTTATTTTAAACAACAGTGAACCCGCTTTGAATAAGATTATTATTAATATGTGAAAAAAAAAACATGATTTATGTGTGTACCCACCATGAGGGAAGGTGACTTGAAAAGGTTTGGCTGTGTTTCTCAAATTCCACATGCTCAGACTGCCGTCCGAATGACTGCACATGAACTGCCGCCCCTCGTGATGCCAGCTTACTGAGTGAATGGCCTGACAGAGAGAATAGAGAAGCGAGCAGGATTGCATTAACACACATTTAAAATTATGCCCAGATTATACTACAACTCATTTATTTCATATTGTTAATTTGTGGCCTTTGTGAGAGGACAGGAAATAAGGACGAAAAGAAAAAGAATGTGATCACAAGTGATAAAAAAGGAGGTTTAGAAATAAACCTCTAAGAACTGCATAGTATGTGTATGTGTGTGTGTGTGTGTGTGTGTGTGTGTGTGTGTGTGTGTGTATATATATATATATATATATATATATATATATATATATATATATATTTATATATAAGTGGAACAAGTTATATAATAATGTGAACAGTTCTTCTTGAGCACCAAATGATTAGAATGATTTTTGAAGGATCATGTAGAAGACTGGAGTAATGATGCTGAAAATTCAGCTTTGCATCACAGGAATAAATTACATTTTAAAATATGTTAGGATAGAAAACAGTTATTTCAAGTTGTAATAATGTTTCACAATATTATGTTTTTACTGTATTTTTTTATCAAATCAGTGAACATCAGTGAACATAAGAGACTTCTGTCAAAAACAATAAAAAAAATCTTAACAGAGAAAACAGTCAGAGAAGTGAAAAGAGGGAGAACGAAATGTGTGCATCCTCAATTTGGCTCCAGAAATTAGAGAACTGAAGACATGACTAATAGTTCCTGCTTGTGAAAGTCTCTCTCTCTCTCTCTCTCTCTCTCTCTCTCTCTGACCTTCATCCATCTAAGAGTCAATAATCCGATATCAGTAATTACTCCACCATCAAAGCAGCCTGATCTCCACTCATCTACTCGCTAATGTCACACAGTAAATAATAAGTGAAATGATATTGGCACAGTCAGATTTATTTGATGTTAGTTGGGAGTGTGTATGAAAGGGGTTTAAAGTGTTTGAGGGTGATGTTTAGTATACTTTAAATGAATGAGAGGGAAAGAGATTTTTGTACCTTTCCAAATCTAATCCATTTCCTTTCAACATTAAATAACAATGTCCTTTTGTGTCTTTTGTCTCATTCCCAGTAACTCGCTTCTTTCCTCACTCTCTCGTTCAAAAAGCTTTCTATTTAAAGTACATTTTTCCACACACGTGTGCATTCCAGGCGGGCATCTAAAGCAGCAATTAGCAGACCCTAGACATTTCCATTTACCCACTCTGACAAACGCTTGCCGAGCGACGGTGCCTGAGATTCCCTCCGCACAGGCAGCGCTGACAGATGATCAGAGGGTGCCGTCACCCAACTGAAACCCGCAGTAAAGGGTTGGAAGGAGAAAAGGGCGAGTTTTTGGAAGGTTTTGTGCGTGCCGCTGTGAGCCAAGGGGCGCTGTGATTGAAACATGTTTTGGAAGGATGAATGCGAGCAGCTGGCTGCAGGAGGCAGTTCCCGTTACAAAAGGAAGATAAAGTTGTGTGCCAAGCAGTGATTATGCTAAACACATCCACATGGCACAAGGGGGGAAATTAAATCAGAAAAGTGACTTGTGCTCAGTGTTGTTGTAAATCAACAACAATGTGGGGGGAAAAATGAGCAGATGAGCCAAGTGCTTCGTCCCAAAAGTAAATTTACTTGGACAATGGAAAGAGAGAGAGACGTCATTTTTTATTTATATAGCCTTGTTGTTCTCCAATTTATTTTTGTTTGTCTTGTTTTTGGCTGAGGGCTGGATTATAACAAGATGATAAACCGGAGCTTGTGGGTCACAGATGCGCGCACACACACAGAGAGACTGAGACACAAAAAATAATATGAATGTAAAAATCAAACAGAGTATGTGTGTACTGTATGTACATACACAAACACTGTATGTACTGTAAAAGCTTTATGAAATTATATAGAAAAACATTATTTATATACTGTATAGAACTATTTCTTGTAGAGGCCGTGATACATGTTTTTCAGGATTCTTTGATGAATAGAAAGTTATATAAAAAAGCTGAATAATAAATGCCATCACACGATCACAGGAATAAAATTACATTTTAAATTGTAATAATATTTCACAATATTATATGAAACTTCCAAAATCTTTTTTAAAAATCTTACCAACCCCAAACATTTGAACAGTAGTGTACATATTATAATCTATTATTATGGATGTTTTATGCAAAAAAGAAGTGACAAACACTTGACACTCACCTCATCATAGTATATCCTGAAGTCAGCTCTTTTGACCCTCAGGTCCCACATTACTATTGTACCGCTCTCAAAACCTATCAGCAACTGAGGGACACACACAGAGGAGAGAGAGAGAGAAAGCAGGAGTCTATAAATCCCAAATGGATGGCAATAAATAGTGGAAACAGAGCTGTGTTACAAATGTCAAGAGCTTTTTGGCTGTTTTGGTTTAGAACAGAACTGACACACTGGTCATTGGGCATATGCAGAGGCGTAGCAGCCATTATAAAAGTGGGGGGGACAAAATGGTGTGGTGATGTGACCCAAAGGTCAGTCCTTCCAGAAAAATGCGGAGTTTTTTTGTGATTGTTGCGGGCAAAAATCCTTGATTATGCGGCGATGGAATATGCAGGATATTTGCAATTTTATGTGATGAAATTGCGGGAACTTGCAAAAACTGCGGTTTGATGAAAAAGAGAGAAAAAGTGATTCCCCAACACCCTGTTCTCACTAGGCTACTACCTTAATGTAAAGAGCTATTTCTTATTACTTCCTATGATAAGCAAACATACTACATCACAGAAAGTGCTGGAATATTTAATCTTGTTTTATTTCAGACCTTAATAAACACATGGCTCAAACTTACAAAACATTGATGAGTCAAACAAGTTCTGTAGCTTTACAAAAGGAATATGCAACAACTTCTGTAAAAATGAATAAATAAAATATGAAAAAAATGTTTCCTGTTTTACAGTTTTTTTTCTTCAATGATGTTCATGTCGCGTAATTACGTCACTTCATAACGTTCCCATGGCAACAGAGGGAAACGGCTGCTCTCGTGTGAAGCAAACGCAACATTTTTCAACTTTCTGCTAAGATATATGTGACTTCTTTTTGCAACAAAAATGCGGGGATTATGAAATCATACAAGCCCCGCATATTTTGCGTGGAAATCGGCAATTTATACGGCAAAAGTGCGGCGTATTTGAAAAAATGCCCCCGCATAAATATGCGGACTTTGGCTGATTATTGAATCATGCGATCGCATAATCGCGTTTTTCTGGAGGGACTGAAAGGTGATGTTCATAATAATAAATTCTAGATGGAATAGCAATTGGCATTTTACAGCACCCTAGTGCCAATTTTGGGAACATGCCATGGTAGTTTACAGCAACCTATTTTTGTGAAATCATACTCGAAATAAAAAAATATTGCAGGACTTGGGACTTTCAGACAACTGTGGACATACACTTTATTTTTATGAAATAAAGATATTTTATGATATTTACAATATTTCAGTTAAACTAAAACTACACTTGAACAATAACTTTTATCTTACTTCTTAACAGTTGGACCAAAAAAAAAGTGTTCAATGAGTACAGAACAGATTACATCTAGCCTACAGTAATTTTATACAACAGACATTTTATAAAAATATATCAATAAAACCTAAATCAATGTATTCGGTATTGGACATCAATTTAACATTGACATGTTGAATTTACATTGAATTTTGGTCACCCGACGTCGCAACCAAAATTTAACCAAATATCAACGTCTTATGACGTTGTGTGCCTGCTGGGAATAATCTGTTATGTCTCATTTAACAGACGCCTTTATCCAAAGCAACAAGTAGGAGAGCATTTAACACACACTCGGCACAATCCGGCGCGACGTGAACCCATACGGGTTCTGTTGTCTTACACGTCTTACAGCGTTACAGTAGGTTAATTCATAACAAGGAAACTTTACGTGTGATTCATGTCATCGCGACATACTGTAACAGTGTGTGTTTGAAAAAAATGATGTAGTCCTCAGCTTTTTTTCTGGGGTGCATTAGACGGCCAAACAGCAAAGCGACTAAACAAACACGAAAATTCGCAAGAGCAACAAAAGATTTGAAGCTCATGGCAGACGCGCCCAATAGATGCTTCGCGCTGTGATTGGCTGAATGTTAGCTCACTCAAGTCTAAGTAACAAATCAGAGAACACATATTGGCGCTGAGTAAAAAAAAAAATGCGGGGGACAGAATCACCTGTTTCTAAAAGTGGGGGGGACGTGTCCCCCCCGTCCCCCCCGGTTGCTACGCCCCTGGGCATATGTATTATTTAACTGGACATGAAGGAGCAAGTGCAGATCAAAACAGACCCTTGCTTGATACTGGGAATCCTCTCGCTGTCACAAACATTGGCAGAATGTGTGTTGGACAAAAATACTTAATTTCAGAATTGGTTCCCTCTCAGTTCATGAGTGTGAATTTGAATTTAATTAGCAACACCTTACAAGAAGTTGAATTGGAGTTTGAATTGGAATGAAAGGAAAATAAATGTCATCACATTTTAACAGTTCTTCCTTTAATTCAAATTCAGATTCAAATTCTGCATCCTATCAATCAGACATTGTACTGTCTCCACCTCTAATATTGTCTGTACTACAGCATATTTTCTGTTTTGTATCCTTTTCCAAAACCTTTTCCAAACCCCCAAGCTCGTCCGTATCAATTCCCACAATGCATTTGATCTTCTGTGACTACAGCAGCATGTAACCACAGCGATTTTCTCCAATTCTTTTCTTGGAAGATGACCTTGCAGTACCCACTCCAAAATGCCATGCCTCCTCCTGGAGATGGCAGATCAGGAAATGCTTTAAAGGAATAGTTAACCCAGAAATTAACATTTCATCACTCACCTGTATGTCGTTCTATCCCTGTATTATGTTCATCTTGTCTTATTAGGGCTGGGCGGTATGACGGTATATATCGTTACCGCGGTAGAAAATGTCAACCGTAACAGATTTTTTTTTTCCGTGTATACCGCGAAATGCAAATAAGTGGGCGTGGTTAACTCGCGTGCAACGTGCGTGAGACTGAAACACTGAGAATTGTAAAAAGAAACACGGAGAAAGCAGATCAAGAGGATCCACAAAGGAATTACATTTTCTAAAGGGTTGTTGTTGTTAACCTGATATTTTCGGGGGGAAAGGCGCACGCGCAGCAGTTAAACTAGAGCAGTGCAGCACCCAGGCTACAGAGTGCATGCTCGCAAAGCATTAATTGACAACAACAGTTCATATATCAATATCGTAACAAATAGAAATATCCTTAAATAATGTATAGTTATCTGTATCTTTCCGTCTCTTATCTATAGTTTTTAAACACGCAAACAGTTTGCCGTGGTAATGAACAACCGGCTTGTTAAAGTGAATGTATAATCCTGTAGCCTATCTGAGGCAAAATTACTAAATGTGCAGCGCGAGTTACATATTTCTAAGTCCAAACAATTGGCCACCGAACCAGGTGATAAAATCTTCCTTTGATTCGATACGTGATTACAACTTGACACTCAAATTAACCGATCGCATTTACTGATGCAGAAGACGCGCGCGTGCACACGCACTGAGGGAGCGCGGTGTTCACCGGGCTATGGTCAAATAATGACGCAGTTACAAGGTGTGTATAATTTAAACTAGGCTACTTAGTCAACACTAACAGTAGCTGCTGTTCGGTTTTCATACTACTGCTCTCCTTCTAGTCACTTCTGAACTTATATTGATTAAAGCGCAGGGTGACGGGTTGCCAGATATCACAAAAAGAGCAAAACAAGCCCCTTAAAACGCAGTGTAGCCTAAGCAGACATGGCAAAAATGTACCGGGGAACACATTTAAACATAACTAGTATTACTATCCTACAAAATTAAAAGGAAATAACTAATTTATTATGAATAGAATAGTTCAATATAAAATATTCAGATATTATAAACTGATTGATGAAGTAAAGCATAACATGAGATTGAAAAATTATTCAGCAACACTTTATTTAAAGTTTAATTGCACCGATAGGAGTTGTATTTAATATCAATCAGTTGGGGGAAGTTCATCTAAAAGTTGATGAGTGTGTTTTGTTTATATTTAGCTATCAAAATTGTTTACCAAAGAAATAATTGACCAAATAAGAGAAACAGAAAACAATGTGAAGTACTTTTCATTTCTAAAGTATTTGGGTTTATTTATTATACAAAGCCCTTTTTGTCGATTTTTCGAGAATAACTACATATATAAATAACTATATCGTGAAATATATCGTTACCGTGAAACAAAATTAGTCATACCGTGAAATAGAATTTTGGTCATACCGCCCACCCCTATGTCTTATGTTATTCTAGGAAGCACAAGAGATGTGAGGCAGAATGTCCAAGCTGTTAATTTCCATAACTTGAAAAGTGGACGGTGAATTATACTGTAAAGCACCAAAAGACCTATGGCTTCAGACCTAAAATATAGTGCATTAGTCTCTTGTCCTTTCATTTTTGTCCTTTTTGGAGCTTGGAAATATAAATCATTATCCACTTTCATTGTACTGCTCAGACTTTCTGTCTAACATCTCCTATTTTGTTCCATGGAAGAAAGAAAGTCATACAGAGTCAAAAAATATGAGGGTGAGGAATGAGATATGGTGATAAAATTGTCGTTTTTGCATGAACGTTGCTTTAAACGATTGTGAAATTGAATGCATGTGAGAGAGATGTTTAGCATGCATTCTCAATACAAGATGTTAACACCAGTAGTTAGGGTGAACATCAGGTCGCATAACAAGTGTATGCGTGCGTGTGTGTGTATCCTGATGAGTGTTAATGAATCAGAACTGTGCCAACGCATGCAAAGTACCTTTTATAAAGAACTCCAGCAGTCATGCTAAAGAACACTAATGTATTTTTTCATATTGAGAAGGCTTTGTGCTCACTAGTTCTTAGTTGTTTGAAAAGTTTTGAGCTATTGATTCAATAGAAAAATGAGAGAGAGAGAAAAAAAAAAAGAAATGCATTCCTCACCTTTCCCTCATCTTTTGGACTGTCACTCAGGTGAACAACAGGACCTGGATGTGTCTTCGTTGATCTGAGAGGGAGAGAGCAAAAGAAAAACTCCTTCAAAAGCTAACAGGAGAATGGAAATGACACATTCTCTGTGATTGTGGTTTGTAGATCATGTCTGTTAGCTCTGAGGTCATCTATATGCTAGCATACTCATAAAGGTTGTCAAAATAAACTTACTAACACACTTGAAATGTACTGTACAGTTTTTCTCTTCCTGGGAAATGGACCAAAACTATTAATGAAATCCTCTTTTGTTCAGGGGTGTTGCATTTAAAATAAAATGCACAGACTATTAATAGCACAAAGCAAATTGTTAAGTTGTTAGCAAGAATATCCTGTTACAACGGGAAATACATTAAGACATAAAAACAAATTACATCTGTCATATCATTCATGGGGTCTTTTAGGAATAATATTGCCAAAGTCAATTAACTAACGACCATATCTCTGGTTTTGCAGTAATATCTTCCTTTTGGCCAGAGCATAAAATTTGTGGGCAGTTTTTCAAACATTAATTTGAACAGAAATGTATAAAAGAATAAGAATACGAATAATAAGAAAAATTCGATTTTTGTCAAACTACAGGGAACTGGTAAATCCCAGAAAGTTCTGAAAGTGTTTTCAGCTAAATTGGGCACATCAAGGTCTTCTTTTCAGCAGCATTTCACAGGCAGAGAGCGACAGGTCAGAAAATGTGCTCTGACAGCCTCCAGTGAAATGACTTCCCTGGTATTGTGTGAGGATGTGCCAAGTACAAGAGAAAAATATTAAAGTGACGGTCAGAGTGAGATAGACACAAAGGAGTTTTATACACACACATATACACACAGACGTCATGCCCATTCAGATCGGTCTCCAAATGCAGAATGCAACTAAAAAGTGGCCCTGGTCTTTCTGGCACAGAGCGCCCCACCACACCTGGTCTGCAATACTCCACAGCACACGTTTTAGCACCACTTACTAACATAAAAATATAACATAATGCAGAAATATAAATGCTATGAAAATTATTTAACTGAAATAGCTTATTAACATGTTGGCATACTTATTTGAGCTACTATTTGCCTAATCTTTCCTGATGTATATGGCATATACAATTTTTACATATTTTAAATGAATTGTAATACTTCTTTCAAACCTAACAAGGACATACCCAAAATAAAATGCTTGTTCATGAACCCTAGTGTTTTCTGAAAGAAGGAACTTGGGGGTTTCTTGTCCAAGTAAGGAGAATTAAAGTTGTAAATAGCTAAAGAATATTTTTTTTTTTTTTTTTTTTTTATATTATTTGCTAATAAGCCTAAAAAATTGTATATTTAGATGTAATAATTTCCTTTATTACAACTTATCTTAAACTTAAAACTTAAGCTGCACAATTACTGCAAAAAAAAAAGTTGCTTTTTTTTTCTTCCACACGTCACTTGCTTTATAGGCATACTGAAAATTCTGTCATCATCACCCTCATGTCACTCCAACACGCCACAGAGTTATTATAAAAATGTCAGAGCTGCTCTTTTTCATGGAACAAAAATATGTGGTGGTCAGTGGTTGTCAAGTTCAAATTGCAATTGTGCTTGGATTATTAAAAAAGTTATATATTATGTTGGGATTTGAACTTTGGAATGCTAAATGAAAGGTGTACAATGAGACAAACATGTCTGGCATATACACTCACCGGCCACTTTATTAGGTACCCCATGCTAGTAACGGGTTGGACCCCCTTTTGCCTTCAGAACTGCCTCAATTCTTCGTGGCATAGATTCAACAAGGTGCTGGAAGCATTCCTCAGGGAGTTTGGTCCATATTGACATGATGGCATCACACAGTTGCCGCAGATTTGTCGGCTGCACATCCATGATGCGAATCTCCCGTTCCACCACATCCCAAAGATGCTCTATTGGGTTGAGATCTGGTGACTGTGGAGGCCATTTTAGTACAGTGAACTCATTGTCATGTTCAAGAAACCAATTTGAAATGATTAGAGCTTTGTGACATGGTGGAAGTAGCCATCAGAGGATGGGTACATGGTGGCCATAAAGGGATGGACATGGTCAGAAACAATGCTCAGGTAGGCCGTGGCATTTAAACGATGCCCAATTGGCACTAAGGGGCCTAAAGTGTGCCAGGAAAACATCCCCCACACCATTACACCACCACCACCAGCCTGCACAGTGGTAACAAGGCATGATGGTTCCATGTTCTCATTCTGTTTACGCCAAATTCTGACTCTAACATCTGAATGTCTCAACAGAAATCGAGACTCATCAGACCAGGCAACATTTTTCCAGTCTTCAACTGTTCAATTTTGGTGAGCTCTTGCAAATTGTAGCCTCTTTTTCCTATTTGTAGTGGAGATGAGTGGTACCCGGTGGAGTCTTCTGCTGTTGTAGCCCATCCGCCTCAAGGTTGTGCGTGTTGTGGCTTCACAAATGCTTTGCTGCATACCTCGGTTGTAACGAGTGGTTATTTCAGTCACTGTTGCCCTTCTATCAGCTCGAACCAGTCTGGCCATTCTCCTCTGACCTCTGGCATCAACAAGGCATTTCCGCCCACAGAACTGCCGCTCACTGGATGTTTTTTCTTTTTCGGACCATTCTCTGTAAACCCTAGAGATGGTTGTGCGTGAACATCCCAGTAGATTAGCAGTTTCTGAAATACTCAGACCAGCCCTTCTGGCACCAACAATCATGCCACGTTCAAAGTCACTCAAATCAACTTTCTTCCCCATACTGATGCTCGGTTTGAACTGCAGGAGATTGTTTTGACCATGTCTACATGCCTAAATGCACTGAGTTGCCGCCATGTGATTGGCTGCTTAGAAATTAAGTGTTAACGAGCAGTTGGACAGGTGTACCTAATAAAGTGGCCGGTGAGTGTATATTGAACTTGAGACATATATACTGTGTGTATATATATATATATATATATATATATATATATATATATATATGTGTGTGTGTGTGTGTGTGTGTGTGTGTGTGTGTGTGTGTGTGTGTGTGTGTGTGTGTGTGTGTGTGTGTGTGTGTGTGTGTGTGTGTCTTTTCTCGCCTAGGGCACCAAGGCACACACATGACAATAGATACACATCTCTGTCTGCCTCTCCTGCTGTAAATGTTATTGGACTAGTCATTACAGAGATGCTTGGCCAACAAAAAACAGAGTATCCCATAATGCTTCCAGCCATAAGTTTGTTGCCATAGCAGCAAAGAAACTCATTTAGTCAACTAATCAATCACTGTGAAAAAAAAGAAGAAGAGGATATAAAAACCCTGTGTATTTGTGTACACTAACCAGTCAGTAAATCAATAAGCATGTTTTAAACGTTTATCTGCTTAAATGTTTCATCTGACTGTGTTAGATTAAACATCAATATTAAGCACATACTGTACATGAACAATAAGCTAAAGACCAATAGAAATATTCGACCTTCTCTTTCTCAGCTTGTAGCACTTTGTCATGTTAGTGGGCTTCCCCATGGAAACATTCATCACGTGTCCCCTGCAGAATGCTGAGGATACTTTTGTCAACTCATCATTCTTGTATCAATGCTGCTGAGTCTGCAAGAGTTGCCAAAAGCAAAATAAGGTAACAAGAGGACAAGTGCTATTACGTGACCTAAATTTCATGCCCAGTCCACTCTTGCAACATACTCAGACCAAGATGGTTTATATAAATTAGCTATCGGATAGGATTCCCATTCATCTCAATGGCAGGTCCAAGCTCTTCACTAGCAAGTATTCGTAGATGTTACGTCAAAGGCAGGAGACAGAAAAATATCCAAGTCCAACATAAACCCAGCTTCCAAAAAAAAAAAAGGATTTCAAAGAAAAAAGTGGATTTTTTGGCCCCATGATGTGGCATCAACTAGCAGGTGCTAAATGGACCATACCGTACTAAGCAATCATAACCCTGTGGCTCATTCATCCATTGGTTAAATGCACTAAAAACGTCTCAGGTTACTACTGTAACCATAGTTCCCTGAGAAAGGGAACGAGACGATGCGTCACTTGACGCTTTGGGAACGCCCCCAGCGTGAATGCGTCTGAGCATCAATGTCAACTAGTCCAATGGAAAGAATGAGCGTCACGGGCGGGTGACGTCATGACCAGGAAGGCATAAGAGCACATCCGGTGAAACGCGGCATTAGCTTCAAAAAGTCGAAGCAAGCCGATCACAGGGATGCAGGAAGTATGGCAGGGTGACGCATCGTCTCGTTCCCTTTCTCAGGGAACTATGGTTACAGTAGTAACCTGAGACGTTCCCTTTCGAGGGAACTCGCGATGCGTCACTTGACGCTTTGGGAACGAGAATACCCAAAACGCCAGAATTCCAAGTACCTGAGTGTCAGTCTGTTGGAACTAAGCACTAAGCACCTGAGAACCTGGGGCAGCATCCAGGTCCAAACTGTAAAACCTGACGAATGTGAGCGGTGAAGACCAGCCTGCCGCATCACAAACGTCTTGGAGAGAAACCCCAAATAACAAGGCTTTAGAGGCCGCCATACCCCTCGTTGAGTGAGCTCTGACCACCAAGGGACACGGATGGTCAGAGTACTCGTATGCAAGTGAAATAGCCTCGACTATCCACTTACTAACCGTCTGTTTAGAAGCAGGAAGACCCTTCTTAGGTGATCCAAAGCAAATAAATAACTGGTCGGACTTCCTCATTGAAGATGTCCGATGAACATAAGTATCCAGTGCTCGCACTGGACACAAGAGGTTCAGCCTTTCCTGGTCCGCAGATGTAAAAGGAGGACAGAAACCTGCAGCACAACAGGCCTCGGAATAATGGTAGGCACCTTTGGAACATATCCATGTTTCGGGTAAGAATGCCTTGGCCATCCCCGGTGCACTCAAGGCAGGTGGGGACCGAAAGGGCCTGAAGGTCTGACTCTAATAGGGACGAAATAGCTAGCAGAAAGAAGTCTTAAAAGAAAGGAACTTCTCTGAGACCAAATCTAAGGGCTCGAAGGGAGCCCCAGATAGGCCTTCTAGAACTATTGCAAGGTCCCAAGCCAGCACC